AGATCTTTATACATAAGGTGCAAGAAGCATGGAGAGTTAAATGATCAAATTAAAGTTGTCCCTATCTTAGTGGGAAGTGAGGTTGTTTTATGACTTATCCGGAGTAACAAAAAAACTGGCTAACGCTAATTACCCCATTACCCCTATCCAAACTTAGTGTAAGTTTTATGATCATTCTTGTAAAGAACTCTGACATGTTTCTTGGACATTTTTGGATCATTTTTATGTTTCCTCAACTCTGTATTTTACTTTTTAAAAAAAATATAGCAAGGCTGTTTGTTAGTGAAATATTTGTGTAAAATATAGCTAAGCAAGCAGATTAATTGATCCATTGTTAATACTACTATAGAATCTGAATCCACTTGTTTTGTTTTCCTTCATTTAATGAAAACCAAATATACTACGTCCCTACAAAATTTACCCACTTTTCCCTTCATGATTGTTACAAAAAAATAGAACTTGAAAGATAAAAGTTTCCATTTTACCCCTCTAGAGTTACTGGGTAAGTTTAAAAACTTGTTGTTACTCCGATGAAGCCGGAAAACCCATCTCTATACGTAATAAATTAATGTTGTTTGTGACACAGAATAAATTAAAGAAAATATATGGTATTAAAAGTGTAATTCAAATGTTTTTGGCAATGGAGGCTACAAGGTGGTGATTTGATTGATGGAATACACCCTTGGGTGAGAGATTGCTATATATCAAGGATAGGAGGAACACAAAATTATGGCGTGTTTGGACGAGTGAAAAATGGGTGGCCACCCTGTTCAAGTAAATTCATACTTGCTGGCCTCACTGTCCTTGTCTCCCAAACATGGAAACCTCTCTATTTTTTTTTTCTTCAAGAAAATAAAAAATATAAGGGCATGTAGTCTGTTTGGGGTACCCCAGAGTGAGGACCATTACCAATCAAAAGCTCATTCGGCACATGCACCATAAAGCCTTTTTTTTCCATTCAAAATTTTAATNCCCCCCCCCCCCAAAATAATAATTCACTTCAAAAAAATAGTTCTCTTGTATTTTATTTCCTTGTTTTAAAAAAAATAAAATGTATTTTAACTTATTTCATTTTCCATCACTCATTCTTCATTATTTAACATCTTTTTGACATTTTTCTTAATAACAATAAAGTCAGAATAAACAAGCTAGTTTGGGACGGAAGGAATATTCATAATTTGTTTACTAAAATATTTCAAATTCAAGACATATGATTAAAATAACGCAGAGTAAGAAAATAATCTTGAAAGTAAGTTTGTTCTTTATGGATGACAACATTTCACATACTCCCGCGTCCACAAAAATTTCACTTTTTTTCGGTTGCAAAACAAACATTATTTTAGTTAACTTTTAGGAAAATAATATCGCTCAAGAAATATCTATGTTCTTAACAAATTTTAACTACATTTTCACTATTTAACAATTTTTTTAAACTGCGTGAAAATAAATCATAGAAGATTTTTATATGTCGGAGATAAAATGTTTTTTAAGGAATGTGTTTAACAATGTTCATATGATGAGTGGTGAAATTCCAAAATGAACATTGCACAATTAACCACTTCAATGATTTTTTTCTAAATTACAAATATTGTATGTAAATTTGAAAGGGGTGTAAATATTGTGTGTTAATTGATAGAATTATTATACTCGAAAAAAAGATATATTTATGATACAAAAAATGAGAAAATGTTGTAAAAAAACAAAAAAGGAAAAAAAAAGCTGTTGAAATTGCCACAGATGGTAGAACATGTCACTCCAGTCCCTAACAGACCATGTGACGCCATAACATGAAAGGGGCAGTCCTGTCCTTTTCTCCACTCCCCTTATTATTATCATGTGAGTGAGTCCCTCCCATCATCTTCCCCTGCCCGCCCCCGGATCTTTACCTCCAAAATCTCACTCCCACACATGTGCACATCACTTAATAATTTATGACTAATTTTATATTGAAAAAAATATATATATAAATGAAACAATAATGATACTATATATACTTCGTATATAATACGGAGTATTAGACATCAAAATTGTCAGCATCAGACTACTTTTCGTAAACATGATAATTATCGATTAAAAATTATTGTACTTCCTGCATCCCGCAAATTAAAACATTTTTCTATTTTGACTTTTGAGGGGAGAAATTGTAGAAGTTTGACCAAGGTGAAACGATAAAAAAAAATGAAACGAGTAGAGCTCAAAAAAGATCAAAATGGATATGGCATAGAACGTTGTAGTTGATGCATATTCAGTTATATTTAAGAAAAGCAACGGTAATTACGTTCATTTAGGTCAAATTGAAATGTTTTATGAGACATCCAAGATGTGAAAGTTGAAAAGTTTTACAGGACCGGAGAAGTATATGAAAATAGACATTAATGGTGTCAACCTTAGATACGGAGTATTATTCTTGGTGTTATGGTAGCATGATGCTAAACCCAAAACCCCTAGTTTTCGTTGGCGGAGTATTATGGCTTCACAAGAGCTTGTTCATGATGGCTTGATGCGTTGTGTGGGTAATGGTAAAAATAGAGTAAATTCCATAATTGGTCCTTTATAACTGGAGGGTTTCTCTATTTAGTCCTCTATTATCAAATATTATCCTAGTGGTCCTTCTTTTATGGGTACCTTTCCACAAATAGTCCTTTTTTTGATCTTGTATCATGTTTGTGGTAATTTGAGGGCTAAAAGTGTAATTTCAAAATGATAATATATCTTTTTTGCCATACATAATTCCAAAGGCTATTCCGTTTGCGTTGTTTATGAATTACAGTCGCTTTCTACTACAACCATTATCTACAAATGTGGTCTTTCGTCGAATCCTAGCCCACAATCATAGTCATTATTTTTGTGTTATTCGTTTAACATATATCAGAACACGTCTCTAGACATAATGTAGATGTCAAATTATACTTTTAGCCTTTAAATTAACACCAACATGATACAAGATCCAAAAAGGACCATTTGTGGAAAAGCACCCTTAAAAAAGGACTACGAGGGTTTCATTTAATAATAGAGGACTAAATAGGGAAACTCCCCTGTTATAAAGGATCAGTTATGTAATTTACTCGTAAAATTAATATTAAGGCATAATTGAATATTAATAAAGGAATTTTTGTATTGACACACCTCAAAGTTTAACAATGTTGAGTCTTTGACTAAATAAGAAAGTCAAAAGTGAACAATACTAATGGAATCAAATGAAGGAAATATATTAATAGGGTTTAATATAAAAATACTAATGTAAAGGTGATAAAGTCTCAATCCTTTGTCTCAAGTTTCTTATATACCATGCAGATGCAAATTACCATGGCGCGTGCTTAATTCTACAGACTAGTCTACCCTTTTGAAAAAAACAATCCCCCTGCATAAAATTTTTGATACAGAAAATTAATTTTTTTTAGAAATAGAAAATTAAATTATTATACAAATGAGTTTTTAACAAAAGATACTAACACCTCTTTAAAGTTCCAAATCTACTTGGGTGATGTTTAGAAACTAATACGGAGTATTTCATTTCAACTTTTGCATTTAAATTACAAGGAAAGACATATGAATTTGTAATTGAGCGTTTTAACGAATAACGAATTGGAAGAATTTACATCAAATTCAAATCCAAATTTTGAAGATTATTCAAACATGATATTTGATTCAAATCTGAATTTGAAATCTAAATTCCAATTCTCAAACACGCAATTGAATTCTGAATTCTGAATTCTAAAGTCTGATTATTAGAATTTAAATGAACATAATTATACAATTAACTAGGGGTGGGCATTCGGGTCCAGGAACCGCGGGTCGGAACCGAACCGCCAGGTTCGGGCCGAGTTAGGTCCGGGTCGTCTTTTCAAAAATTTAAAACGGTCCGGGTCGGTCTGGTTCCTATATATTTTAGGGTCGGTTCGGTTCCTCATTTTGAAATTGTTTGGGACCCGGACCGGACTCTTTTTTAAATACTAATATTATTTTTAATATTTTTTGAGTAAATATACGGTATATCCGTCTATTCCAATTAATTTTAGTAACTCTTTCGGTCCTTCCATATTCCAATCACAGTGCAGAACCGCAGAAGTGCATAAGTCATGTTCAATAAATGAAGCTAATTTCCACTGAATTAGAAAAAAAGTGTATTATTGAATCAAAAGTCATTTGCATATTTTTGTGTGTGGAATATGGTTGATTTTAAAATTTTGTTTTTTGCAGGTTTTTTGGATTTTTTGTAAGCCATGAAAATTGTCAATTTTGCTCTTTTTGAAACCTATTGACATTATAATGCCAAAATGTGGTTGTCTTCTTTTTGTTGTTGTTGTTGGATGATCATGGGGTGTAGACTTTACTCTCATGCCCCTCTTTGTCATTGTTTTTTTTCATTTATTCCTCTTTTTTGAACTTTGAAGGCATTATTCTATAATTTCTATTTGTTTTGAAGAATGTTAGTATTATGACAGGTTCGGACCCGTTGACCCGTGGAATCGGCCCGTTTCAAACAAGCCGGGTTAGGTCCGGTTCCAATTTTAAAATTTTGAAAACCCGTTCCGGCCCGGACCGTTTTAATAAAAACAAGCCGAGTCCGGTTTATATAAATTTGGACTCGGACCGGCCCGTGCCCACCCCTACAATTAACATGTTCAAATGAGCATTCCTCAAATGAAAAAACATCCAATCTCATTAAGGGCCTGTTTGGTAATAGCGTTAGCGATTAACGTTAGCATTTTGAAAAGGCTATCTACGGGCAGCGTTTAGTGTTAGCGTTTTCAAAGTAATCTGCACCGCTAAAATTTTATCCAAAACGCTAACGTTAATCTCTAACGCTATTCCCAAACAGACCCTAATTCCTCTTTGGAAGAAAGATGAATATAGTACTATAACAAAAAAAACAAAAATAAAAGACAGAAGAAACAAAAGAAATGAGTCTTCTTTAGAAACAATTGATTAACCTTTATAAAAGATGAACAATCATCATCATTAACTTACTTAATAAGAGCATACAAAGTAATTAAGAAGCTAATCAAAGAAAAAACATAAATTTAACAATAAACAAAAACAAAAAAAGGAGTTTCTTTTCTTTTTTGTCGTCTAAAATAACCAATTTTTGCATCTCAAATGAGAAATCAAAACGCCGTCGTATCATCCTTCGTTCTGCTTCTGCGGATTTGCCGGATTACAGTTACTACTACTGTTTGGGCCGTAAATCTCGATAAGTTTCTGCAAAACGGCGACTTGTGTTCGGAGCAGGACAATGTAGCTCGCCGTGTCTTGGAACAGCTGATCGGATTTCCGGTCACCGGTCACCGGAGGAATGAGCTGTCTCAGGGCCTCGATCTTGTCCGACACCGAAGAGTTCGACGGAGCTCTGTCTTTTCCGGGGCCGAATTGGGCTCTCCGGCGGGCGGCCGATCTTCTCCTCGTCTTTGTAATTCGAAGGTCGCCAGCGACGGGAATCTGTTTGGATCCCATCGCGGTTGTGGTCGGCGGGGAGGAGGATTGGAGGAGGAGTTGACGGCGGCGGCACGGCGGCTGGAGAGAGAAAGAGGGAAGAAGAAGGAAGGGACGTTCCGTTTCCGTTCCGTTTAGTAAATAGGGAGGCGTTTGGGGGAGGGGTTTAAGTAGGAAGGGAATTTGAGTAGTGCCACTATTTTCTGCTCGAATCACTATTATGCCATCACGAGTCACTTGGGGGTAGTTGTCCCTTGTCCCGCCTCACACCAATTATTTTTAGTTTTTCAAGAGAGAGCAATATTATCTTGGAGGCGGTTCCATGACATCGAAGATTAATATCATGAGATAATCCATGAGTGTTATAGTGCCCGTTCGTAAAATTTACGGTTCGTTTCTCTCTAATTCCTCAGTAAACTTTCTCACCCTCATCCCCTTCAATTGCATCCCCAATTTAATTTTGACTTTAGAGTCAAAACTCCAAAATCAAAATTAACTTGAGGTGTAATTGAAGGAGATGGAAGGTTTACCATAGGAGTATGATTATTCTAATACTCTTTTAGGATTTGTTAACTATTTGAATATTAATCAAATACAAATTCAAATCTTATTTTTAATTCATCTCATATTTGGATTTAGATTCGTATTCGAAAAACTTAAACAAATACAAATTCTAATATATCTCGGTATTTGTTTCGAATCGGTTCGTTTACGCTCTTATTCAAGACCTAGTCGGTAGAGGGTGACACGATGTGATGTCCACACTTGAGGTGTACTATCATGAACTTCATACTCGCTCCGTCTAATACTCCGTAATAAACTTCCAGTTTGGAAGGAAGTAGAAAATATCATCTTTTTTAAAATTACTTTATTTTCAAATTGGTATATTATAAAAAAGTATGTACAAATTATATTATTCAGAAGTATATAAAATTGTTACAAAACAAAATATGACAAGAATATTTTATCTTATCAAATGATTGACAAAATTTTGCAAACAAACATAAGTTATTTATCGAGAACTAACTCGTAATAGTAACCGAGAAGTGAGAAGTTTATTGCTGAAACCGACGGAGCGGGGTTAAAAGTTAAAATTAACTTGATTTAAATTAAAATATGCTATAATTATAATGTAATTCGGAATACTGAAAATAATAAATATGAGTGTAATAGTTATAGAATTTCTCTCACATTTTAGTCATCACAACATCCAAGTATTTGGCTTTGTTTGGTAACAGCGTTTTCGATTAGCGTTAGCGTTTTGGATAAAATTTTAATGGTGCAGATTAATTCTGAAAACGCTAACGCTAAAGGCTACCGTCGGATAGCTTTTTCAAAACGCTAACGCTAATCTCTAACGCTGATACCAAACGGGGCCTTTATCTCATGTGAATCGTAAGATAGATTTAGGGTCAACTTAACCCTTTTGAAGCTAATCTGAGCTCATAGTGGGGTTTTGTTTAAGAAAAAGTTAAAGGAAAAACCTAAGAAGTAAAAAAAAATTAAAACTAATGATGATCTAGATATAATAATTCTTTAAAAATAATAATAATTTAATTTGCATAAGACATACGTACGTGTACGTTGTTTCAGGTAGATGAATCATAAATAATGGGGCATCCATACAATCCGCATGTTAGTATACAACTAATAATATTTCCTGTTTCAATTTAAAACAATTTTTTTTGTGATTGGTCAAAAGAATTTTTGATTTAATTGTTTTTAGAACATAATTTTAAATTTTTTAATACTATTGGATCTATAACAATGTAACATTTTTTATACGTACTTTTTTCAAAATATTGAACACATAAGTTCAAAAACAACCTTCCATTTTTGCAACTTAATTAGACATAAGGTCCTTGGCATTTTAATACTCCCTATCTTTTTGTAAACTTTTAAAAGTCAAATATAAGGATTGTTTTCGCAAAAAATTAGTGTTCGCGTGCAAAGTTTGAACAAATCAAATTAAAGAAGCATCGTCTAGCTTTCTATTCGATCAATCACATAATTTAGGGCCGGTCTCAAAAAATGAAATAAAAATGGCTGGTCCGATATTTATATTTTGGATCATTAAGATACTTATGCTTAAAAAATAATGAAGAATTTAAAAATATGGTGCCCTACAATTTTAGGACCCCTGTGCTTTAACCACTTTACACACTCTCCGGGCCACTCATGACATAATTTTATTTCTTTTAATTTATGAAATTATGAGTCAAGTTAATTAAACATGAAACCATTTTCTTTCCGAGAGGGAGCAAGTAAAGTGAAACTTGCAGGAGGGAGGAAATGGTAGAGAAGATGGATAGGAAGATCGAGCACATGGTGAAGCACATGCATTGGCACATGCAGTAGTTGAAAGGAGATGCAAATGCATATATATATATATATATATATATATATATATATATATATATATATATATATATATATATATATATACACACACACACATATGGCAATGGCATGGCATAGCATGTGGTGATCGAGAGATAATCGCATGGACACGTACGACAGGGAAGCAGCATCACAAATACCCCGCCCCCCATGCATCCATGTTCTCCACATTCCCTGCATCATCCTAAATAGTATCCCTCCCCGTCGTTTTTCATGGTCAAACTTTAATCATTTTATTTACTTATTTTTGTCTGTTATTTGATAAAATAATATAGTCATGTCACATCTTGTTTTGTAGAATTTTTGATTTTGTATTAAAATATATATTTTTTATTTTTTAATTTCACACTATAATCAAATAAATTAAATTAAAAATAAATTCGGTCAAACGTCGTAAACTAAACTGAGAAGATCATTTTAAGACGGAGGGAGCACTACCTTATATATATATATATACACTACAAGAAACATTGTAAGTTGCAGTACTTATTTTACCACATAACCATATGTTGCAAATGTTTAAGGTGTATTTAGTTTTTCCACATTTACAAGTGTTGCCATAAAAAATCTGACCCAAATTAAACCATACAAACCAAAAATCTAAACCCAAATAGAAAAACCCAACTAACACATAACAAAAAATCTAAACGCGTACGTACACAACCACAAATCTATCCCATTTTTTATTGCTTTACATAGAAACCGTCCGTCGAATAATACTCGTATTACCATCAGATTCACGGACACATTCATTCTTTATCTTCGATCCCTCATCTTTGATTATTCAGACGCGTCAATTCTTCATCTCGATCTTTCAGATGTTCACTAGATCTTTCCTTCAACGCGCTTCCATCGCATTTTGATGCTCATTTGATCCAATATTTGGAGTACGTCGTGGATTTGTCTAATGCTTGTGCAATGGATTGTGAACTCAATTTGGGATTTTTGGAGGTGGATTCTGACGATTTGAAGGTCAACGCCATTGTCCTCACTTTTCATCTCCGACTTTTTGTGTTTTGATTCTACTCATTTCGGCATAACTAATCGGTTATCTTTGGGTTTTTTCAGCGGTATTGATTCCTCTCTCAAGGTATGATGTTAGATTCCATATCTATTTGAATTTTCATTCGATTTGAAGATTTTTGGGTTCTAATTTACTATTCACTCCTTCGTGACACTCAACTCTTCCATAAAATATACTCCGTATTATGCAACAAATCAAAATGTTTGTCCAAAACATTGTCTAGTGCCACGATAACTTTTTCAAAAATCGAACCGATAGTTGTGGCAACACACAAAATTGGATTAACTTTGACAAATGAAAATCTTCTTCCCAAAGAAAGAATAAAGCTCCTAGCGATGAGAACCAAGTGGCGGCTCCCAAAACTTTTAATTTGCTGCCACAAATTAATTATTTGGGTTTTGTAACAAATTGGCAGCGACAGGCGGCAGCGCGGGGCGGAGCGGCGACGGCGTGGTGACCGTCAGTGGCAGGCAGCGGTCAACTGTCAAAATCTAGTCAGCACTCTTTCTTTGATTTTATTTTTTCAAAAAAAATTAAAGTATTGAAAAATATGATGAGCTTTGTCCTACAGTTTGGTGAGCTTTGTAGTTGTCTTTGGTGAGTTTTGCCTCATCTGACCGTAGCATGTCATGTCACCGTAAAGTATCATATATATATTTATACTCCCTCCGTTCCACAAAACCCTTCCTCTTTCGTTTTTTTTGCTTTCCACAAAACACTTCCACTTTCTATTAAAAAACCACTTTTACCCCTACTTTTTCATACACTACCTATCACATCATTTTTCACTAATAACCAAACTATCACATACTCCGTATTACTTTTTCCCATCGCATCAGGGGCAAAATTGGAAAGTCAACCAAAATTACACTTTCCTTATTTTTCCCAAAGTCAAAACCGGAAGGATTTTGTGGAACGGATGGAGTACTAAATAACACTAAAACTTAAGTCATTTCCCTAAATAGCATGCACTTAAATTATTTTATTCCTTAAATAGCACTTAATAATGTCTCTAATGTCCTGTGATGGTAAATATTTACTTGAATAATGACTAAAAGTACTACATTGGGAAGAAAAATACATGTAGTGCTGTTTAGAGAAGACCATTATGTTTTAGTGCTATTTAAGTAAATTCCATATATATATATATATATATTGATTCAAATAAGAATAAGATCTAATGAAAGAAATAAGAATAATTATGCACCGTTGGATTAAGCCCCTATGATTCATCATCTACCCATCTTACAAAGGGTAAGGAGGTATTTTACATTGAAATCAGTTTCTCTCTCTCAATCCCGTCTTCATCTTCCCGAGATCATCGCATACACTCCATCTTCCAGATTCCTTCCAAATCTTGCGTCATAATCTGGTAGGCAAATCCTAATTTATCAATTTTGATTTCTAATCTCTCTGTTGAAGGTGATTATATTTACCGATTTCAGAATCCAATTTTTTGTTCTTCTTCTTCTAGTTATTACATGATGGGTCCATAAAGACGAGGCCATGGATCTGTATGAAGTTCGACAGTCAAGATGTAAAAAGCATAGATGATGTTTGATGAATTGGCCGACTGATTCTCTTGCTAATTTAGGTACGACTAATCATAGATTTACTCCTCATGAATTCACATTTTTGAATTATTTAATTTTATTCCTTTTGCTTTGGTGTGTCATTGGAGGAAGAAATCTTCTTGTTCGACATTCAAATCACTTCTCAATTTGGCATTCCACTCTTTATGTTTTGATTCATGTTTCAATTTTCTCATTCTTTTTGCTAAACATGATATTTTTTGTTTGACAGCACACAATTTCAAAATCATTTGTTCATGTGAATTNAGGTGTCATTATTCACTAATCCACAAATTAATACAAAAATTAAATAAAATATAAAAGCAAGACACAATGCATATATCAGATTATCAGCTAGCATAGTGCAATAACATTAAAAAGTCTTTATAAATTTTTAAGCTTTTACTTTAAAATGTGAGAAACTTATAATAAAATGTGATAATATAAAAAAATAACCAAATATAGTTAACCAAAAAATGATAAAAATAACGTGACAAGAAAGTATTATTTATAAATTTGAAAAAAAATCAAAGTAAATAAATAAATCTTTTCCACCGTGTGAAATGCATTAAAATAATGCATATGAGGAATAAAGAGTGCAATAGAAAAAAATATTTAATATTAATTTTTATTGAAGAAAAATGGCAAAAAAAAAATAAAAAATGAGAGAAAAAAAGATAAAAACGTGACAACAGATCCAAAAAAGAATCTAAGTGGAAGTCAAATATATGGAAAGCATTAATTTTGGTAATGGATAGTTGCGTGTCATCCATGACCATTTTAAATCCAATACGATTTTACAATATTGCCCCTATTACTCTTTGATTTTAATTCACAATCAATGAATTGATTTCCTTACCTTATAAAACCTAGTGGTGCCCTCCATTTTGTAGAAGGCTTCCATCCATTGATCATTTGAGATCAATGGATCTCATTCATTCTTATTTCTTTCGTAGAAGATCATTCTTATTGGAACCCACCCCTATATATATATATATATATTGTGTGTGTGTGTGTGCAATTTAAATGGTCTATAACATAAAAAATCAAGTTGTTTTAATATTTGATATTGTACATTCAAAATAATTCCATTCAACTTTTGCATGGCACGGGTTAAAATATCTGGGCCTTGTTTGGGAACAGCTTTTTCAATTAGCGTTAGCGCTTAAGATAAAATTTTAATGGTGTAAATTAATTTTGAAAACGCTAAAGGCTATCGTCAGATAGCCTTTTCAAAACGCTAAAACTAATCTCTAACACTGATGCCAAACAGGACTTTATACTACTATATATATATATATATATATATATATATATGTATATATATATATATATATATATAGAGAGAGAGAGAGAGCTTTTATTGTTACAACAATAATTTTTACAACATATCTACAATGAATCAATCAGGACGCCTATACTTTTTGTTTCCCTCACTAAGGCTCCGTTCCGTTCAACTTATTTTTTCTTATTTTTTTTATTCTTATTAAAATCAGATCATATCAGACCAGATCATATCTGATCTGATTTGATGATCTGATCAAATCCAATCAGATTAGATCAGAACTGATCAAATCCCATCCAGAATTATTATTATTATTATTATTATTATTATTATTATTATTATTATTATTATTACTATTATCATCATCATCATCATCATCATCATCATCATCATCATCATCATCATCATCATTATTATTAAAAATGAAAAGGAGTAAACTTTAGAAACAAGTTAAATAGAAAATTGAGAAAGTAATCTTTAATTATTAAACATCGAAAAATTTATTTTTAAAATATATTGACAATGTCAATCTAATTGTACATCTAAAATACATTTTTATTGCTACCTGTAATTTGAGTTTATAAAGTTTTGATCTTTTATAGGATGAGATATTTTAATAAAAATACTATCTCTTCAATATACTCCGTATTGATTATCTAAATTTAATTACTTTTTGATGTATATATAAATTAAATATTTATTCTAATGTATATATGAAGTAATTATTAAAATATTAAATTAATATTCTAATTTCACAAAAAAATAATCATAAAATAAAAAAATATTATTACATTATAATATGAATAAGTATTCTAATATATGAATTAACTAATTTAATTTTATTAAAAAATAATCATAAAATAAAAAATATTGATTATATTATAATATGATGATCATTACAATTTTCAAAACGGTATACTCCATCCGTTCCATAAAATCCTTCTCCTTTCGTTTTTTTTGAATTCTCTAAAACACTTCCACTTTCTATTAAAAAACCACTTTTACCCTTATTTTTTCATACCCTACCTATCACATCATACTTTTTCACTAATAACCAAACTATCACATCTTACTTTTACCCATCGCATCAGGGATAAAATTGGAAAGTTAACCAAAATTACACTTCCCTTATTTTTGCCTAAAGTCAAAAGTAGAAGGGTTTAAAGGAACGGAGGGAGTAATAAAGTCAAATCAAATTATTGATTTGAATTTTAAATCAAATCATAATTAATCAGATCAGATCAGATCAGAACTTATTAAAATCAGATCAGATCAGAAAAATAAGTTGAATGGAACGGAGCCTAACTCCTCGCATCCCTCCTAAGTCATATTTTACCCCTTTTCAATTATATTGTGTTTATAGTTTACTTTAGTTTCTTCATATTTAGGTTTTTTTATAAAGAATACTCTCTTTGTCTTAATAAAATAAAATAGTCTTATCGCCTTTCTTTTGGTAAAATTTTTTGACATAATTTTTAATATGTTATTTTTATTTATCAAAGATGTATTAATTTATAAATAGAATAATTTCAAAAATCAATAGATTTTACCACGTAAATCTCAATTTATAATTAAAATTAAGACGTAGAGACTATGAATGATGGGTAGGATTACTATTAATGAACATGGTGGGATGAATAAAATGCAAAGAGTGTGAAGAGACACGTGATGTGACTGATGCTCAACTTTAAGGTACCAGATTAGTTTAATCACATGGAAACATGTGGTAACTACTCCGGTATATACGCATGTGCGCCACGTGTAAGCAGAGGCACGTGTTTAATTAAACCTTAATCTAGGACTCTAAGCTAGCTATAAATGGTCAACTCCTCTCACAAATTCTCCTTCCCCAATTGAACTCTTTTTCAACAAAAAAAAGTTTGGTCTGGATCATTATAATTTATATTCCACTTTGCAAGCACCTTAATATTATTTTTCCTTTCGTCTAACAATAAAATTCTTATTCACTATTTTTAGAGTTAAACTTTAATTTTAGGTAATTTTAAAATATAAAGGTATATATAGCAAGCCTCTCTAAATATAACAAACCATGATATTGATTAAATATTTGAATTTTCTCTCATTTCCCTTCTCAAAAGAAACAAGTAAAATATTACTATCTTCATCCCTATTTTAATTTTAGGTCAAATTAAATCAATTTTTTTTCAAAATATTCCTAATCAATGAGTAGACTCATATGTACTTTTTGCACATAGGGGGTGGGGATATATATTACTCCCTCCGTCCCCCTGTATTTGTCCACATTTGACTTTTGGAACTGTTCATCTAAGCACTTTGATTCATCAAATTTTCTTAATGTGTAAGCCTAAATATAGTCATGTGTGGTCTTGTTTGATTTGTCTTAACATATAAATTATTAATATATAATTTTTATAATTTTTTAATATACAAATTACAAGATAAAATGAATTAAAAAAGTGCATTGGATGGTGTATAAAAATGAAAGTTGACAAATACAGGGGGACGGAGGGAGTAAGAAAAGAGGCATTTCAGTCTTAAAGGTGTCTAAAAATTAGCAAAGTAGGATATTATAATCCATTTTAGATAATAAAAAGTAATATTGTAATCGAAATACGGACAAGTAAGTAAAGGAGGGTGGGGGGAGGGGCAGAAAAAGAAGGCATGAGGGGGGCTGCAAAACAAGAAGAAGTTAGGAGATTGTGGGGGTGGGAAGAAAAAGAGCAAGAGGAGAATAGGTGCCCGGAGATTAAGAAAAGAAATGGGGATGAAACTGAAAATTACGTTTTAAAATACTTAAAGTATTTAACGTGAAAGATTCTTCAAAGTTAAATGATTTGGGTTGTGCTCCGTTCGCCTCATCTGGTCTGATATGATATGATTTTTTGAAAGTCTGATCTGGTCTGATATGATCTGATTGCAGTTATAATTAAAGCTGTTTCTGATTTTTTGAAAGTCTAATCTGGTCTTATCTGATCTGATTATAAAAACAATAAGTAATAAGCATAAAAAATAAGTTAAACGTAATGTTGTCTTGATGGTCACCTGAAATCGACTCCAAGTACTATATGTGAAACATTTTTCAATGTTTAGCTATTTTTGTGATTTGAAATGAAGATTTAGTACCAAAGTAAAAAAAATATAACTAAAAATCCAAGTACCGTACAAGAAATTTATGTATAAAACTTTTCGAGTTTAAATGAATAATATTGAATTAAATTTAATTGAATTTTTAAATATTGAAATAAATAAGATTAATAAGTATTGCATTTTATGATACTAACATTAGTATAAAAATCATTTCATTAGATTTATGTTATGGAAGGCTTCCAAGTTTTATTTTATGTGGTATGAATATCAATATAAATTAAGAGTACGTAATTGATAATTAAATTTTATTTAATTTGACTAAAAAAATAAAACTGAATGGATACACCGAAACGAAAGTAGTATATATTATCCTTCTAAAAATCACCCTAAATAGGAATAAAACATAGAGAAAAGTATCAAAATAGGACTTTCATGTTTTTTTCCTGAACATTGTACATGTGCATATTACGGAGTACTATACTTTTTTTTGTAATGTACATGACCATATTTGGTAATGTAAGTCCTATTTCGGGAAAAAAATATGAAAATCCTATTTTGGAATATATTCAATGTTTTAGTATTACTTTGGTCTTTCTCCCTTATCTTTTTTTTTGAGAGAGTTTAAGAATTAAATTATCCTAGATGTATTTGTACATTTATGTTACCACACGCCATTCGTGTGTTTTCTCATTTAAACGATGCATTAGAACCCTTCAGTGACACTAGGTAGTTAGTGTCCATCTAAGTCACTTAATATAATATTGTTCCATTTGTAAAATTAACTATTTTTACCCTCTAATCCATACTAATTAAACACTCCCAAGCCCAACCCCCCATACTAGTTGTATGTCAATAATAATTGTAACATCGGGGATAAATATGAAAAATCAAAAATATTTTTATGTTTGTTTAAAATTTCTTGAAATTTTCCCTTTCAAACCGACAAAATATGTCTCTAAGATGTTGAAATTATTGAATGAGTGTCAAAGAATTAAGTTACATCTACCCTAAATATTGTATCCCAAAATATACCTTTATTTTGTGTTAATGTGATTTTAAG